GGAGATCGAGTATGGTATGAGGTTTGAGAGAACCTATTTGTAAGGGGGTGACCATAGGGTGATGGGTAGGAAGAATGGCTGGAGTAGCAGATGTTGAGGATGATGATGAAGTAGATTATGAAGAAGGGGAAGGATTGGGTAGAATGGACGGAGATGATAGAGGAGAGGGGGCTTTTGTAGAAGTGTTGGTTGCAGTAGGTGGGATTGATGGTTGGAAGTATGGTGGAAATGGTGCTAATTGTGGTGGAGTGACTGCAGAAGAAAAAGGCTGGATATGGTTGTAGAGGGAAGGAAATGTATGCTCATCAAATTCGGCATGGTGGGACACAAAGGAGCAACATGTGCTAGGATTGTAACATTTGTATCTCTTTTGAGCTATGACATAGCCTAGAAAAATGCAGGGAGTAGACCGAGGACCGAGCTTATGAGCTGACTATGGTCGAAGCCATCGATAGTAGCGACAACCAAAGGAGCGAAGATGATTATATTCCGGAGGTGTTTGATACAGTAATTGATATGGAGAAATGAATAAGGTAACGGGCGAAGGGAGGCGATTTATGAGATAGACAGTTGTGAGTATGGTATATGTCCAAAATTGAGCGGGTAGCTTTGCATTAGTAAGTAGAGTGCGTGCAGTGTCAAGGAGATGCATATGCTTGCGTTCAGCAATCCCATTTTGCTGCGGAGTGTGACCTGAAGTGTATTGATGAGATATACCTTGCTGCAATAGAAATGATTTGAGAACGTTTTTTTAGGAATTCCCCTCCACCATTGGTTCAAAGAGTCCGAACAGTGTGATTTAAGTGTTTTTCGATTTGTTGTTTAAATTGGATAATGGTGGGAGTAACATCAAATTTATTTACAATAGGATATAGCCATATATAACGAGAATAATCATCAATGAGTAAGAGATAGTAACGATAGCCATCATGAGAAACAATTGGAGAATGCCCCCAAATATCTGCATGTATTAATTTAAGTGAAGCATTGGATAAATTTTGTGGCTCAGAAAATGGTAGCCTATGACTTTTAGCTACAACGCAAGAATTACATATAGAGGAAGAGGAAGAAGAAATTCCTAAAACTGGAAATTGTTTTGATAAAGAGGCAAGGGTAGAAGAGCTGGGATATCCCAAATGTCTGTGTTAGAGCTGAGTAGAGGGAGTGACGGAAGCAACAACAACAATTGGAGAAGAGGATGTTGAGGTGGAGACTGGGTATAAGCAATTATGGCACAAACCGCGGAGGAGCTTGCGGTTGGTCTTTCAATCCTTAATAATGAAACAAACAAAATTGTGTAATTATTATCATTTTTTAGTTGAGAAACGGAAAGAAGTTTATGGATAAGATGAGGAACATGAAATAGAGGATTGAGCAGAGCAGGCGGATCAGCTTACAATGGTAAGAAATAGAAATCCATTTTAGCGAGAGTATACCATTCGTCATACTTGCAACAAGAGCTAAGCCAATGCTTAAGCTCCCAGCTTTCTACTAGTATGAGAACATCTTCGTCTAACTTCTCGATCATTAGCCATTTTTTTGAACTGGAAAGTCTTGACCAATTTGAGAGATCATTCGATGTAGTTGAAAAAATTCGTCATATTAATATTCAGTTAAGACCATATATTTTCTTTTCACCATGATTTTTGGTTAAGTATTTTTGGTTAAGTAATGGAAACTCAACCAAAATCATAACTGTTTCAATATCATCCTTTTCTTTCCTTTTCTTTTGATTGTCTAAATATTCAGCTAAGACCATTCCAACGCTCCTTTTCTCCATGCATAAACTGAACCCACAATTGGGATAAGCACGAAATGAAAGCTGCTTACGGGATGGAGTTGGTAGTAAGCCTTTGTTGGAGTTAAGGATAAGAAGAGGAGTATCGTTGCCAATCAACACTTGATCTGTACCAGAGTAAGCAGTTGATTGTTCGAGAGAAGAGGGATCTGGAGCGAGATGAGCTATGGCACCGCTATCTAAATACTAAGGGGATGAGGCAGAATCAGCAACCAAAGCGACATTTGAAGATGTGGAAGATGGTGAGTGTTGTAAATTTGTTCGATGCCAGCAGGTAAGAGCCAAGTGACCACGTTTTCCTTAGATTTGACAGTCGCTAGAGAAACGAGGATGTCGAGGGCTAGAGGGAGAAGGATGGATGCAGCCACGTCCACGATTCAAAACAAGAGCAAATTGACAGTCTGTGTTGTGCCAGAGGAAGTGATATTGAGGTCTTTGATGGCATCAGTTGCTTGATTAACTTACTCACTATAGAGAAAGGAATACAAGTCATCAAGACCAATGGGTGTGAGCTTCGTTCGAATCACTATCTTGAAAGCTTGATAAGTGGGAGGTAGACCATTTAAGAAGTAAAGAATGACACCCTCTATATCGACGGAACCACTGGCAGTTGAGATGTTATCAATGAGGTGTTTAACAATGACTAGGTATTTGGTCATAGATTGGCCTTGCATAGAGAGTGTGTAGCTCATTTTTGAGCTGGATCGATTGGTAGAGTGAAAACGGCATTGTAAGGTTGTCCAAATGGAGGCACAGGTGTCAAGGTTAAGAATGTGGGGTAGAATGGAAGGGAAGATGGTGGAGATTAAGGCAAGCAAAAGATTTTGGCCGACCAAGAGGCAGGAAGAATATTGGAGCTTTAGTGTAAGTTGACCGGTAGCCGAAAGAAGATGTTTAAAAGGGGGAAGCTGACTATCGTCAAGGTAGCTGGAGAATCCATTTGCAGCAAAAAGTTTAGATATAAAGGAACACCATGTGGGATAATTATCAGGAAGAAGTTGGATATTGATGACATTTTTTTATATTAGAAACAAGAAATTTAAGAGAAGAGGGGATTGGGACATCGGTGTTGGGCTGAGAAGTAGTGGAGGGCGATGAAGTTGAAGGCGTTGAAACGGATGAGTCCGTCATTAGCGGAGAAATGAAGCAGTTGCAAGCGAAGAGTTCTGATACCATGATGAAGCTTAAACAATGAATGCTTACACATTCATTACAACAGTAGAGAGAATGAAATGTAGAACATTATTCCATTTAATCAGTACATCTGAACAATGAATAGATGTGTAGTTATATAACCAATACATGAGTAAAAGTGGAAAGACAACTATGCCCTAAAGTGGTTACATGAAGTAGTGTATAGAAAGTGACACCGTGGTAGTGGCGGCATATCCTGTCAACGTGGCAGAGAGGAGCCGAAAGCACTGTAATCAGCTTTTTGGTCTGTGAGAGGATGGAATGCTCCTAACAATGTAGTCTTGCATGACTAAAGTCAAAGAGAGATTCATAATGCTTCAGACTTATCACCTTTCTAGGTGTTAATCACCTTATGTTATTCCTACAACCCCAAGATGAGGAATCACTACAATGATGTTATCATTATCATTACATTAGTTTTCAAAATGTTGATTGTTTTTTTTTTTTATCGATACAAGATTTCCATGAACATATGCTTAAGCATATGTTTAATTAAAAAAATATCAATCCATCCAGGCAATTTACTACTGCTTGGCTCATCTATGCTCCTCTAATAAGCATCAAGAACCAAAACTTTAAATCATATCGAGGGTTGGGGACTAAAAGTTGGTGGGCAGAAGTTAACCTCTAGCAATAGTCAACTTAATTATATTTTATGCCGTAAAAACCTATGATACCATCTTTTACAAACCTCGATCAAACACATTCAAAGGCATCATTTTGGCATGCCATGTTGAATTGAAGATTCCTGCACATGGCAGAACTCTAACTATGATATGAGGATTGTCTTTAAAAGATCATTTGCTATTTGTTTTAGTCATTCTCTCTAAGAGGAGATCATAGACTTAGAAGTTCAATATAAATATTGGTATTGATGTTGAGAGTCATAGTTAGTTTTGACGACATAGATCGGTCTTATGAGCGATGGTGTTCATTGATATTTTTTGTGACGACAAATGACGAAATCAGTGGGTGTTGGTGTAGCTAGGCAATAATATTTGGAGCATGGTCATTAAAGTATTTTAGTCGAGTGATGATGGGTGGAGAATTGTAGACAAGTGACGGTGGTCAAATGACCATAATTAGAGAATCATACTCATGTGATAGTGGTCAAGAGACTGTGGTTGAGAAATGATTGATGATTGGGAGACAGTAGTTAGATAATAATGGTTAGAATATTGTAGTTGGGAATCGTTGGTAGAAGGATATTAATCAAACAACACTGGTTAGGTAACTTCAATCGAGCGATGGTATTTTGATGGTGGTGGTCTAATGGTGATGGTGGGGTAATAATCTAATGATGGCGGTCGAGCGGTGTTCCTACACCAACAATCGAGCGATAGTCCAATGGTAATGGTTGAATGACAAGGGTTTGATGGTGATGGTTGGATGACAATGATGACGGTTCAATAATAGCAACATACGATAATGCTCCATTGGAGCTTTGAAATTCTTAAACATCAAAGTTCTCTTGAATGGCAACTGGCAAGTCAATGATCCAAGCTCCCTCTTTATATTATGAGTGAGAGCTTCTTTATATTTTTTTTACTTTGACATACTTTGTAAATATAGCCAAAGTCTAAAACACTCCATTGAACCACCCTTATTGATTCTCTCGATCATAGATCTTTTTTTAGCATTAAAGTACTTGAATGATATGTAAGAATTAGATAATTTTTTGATCGTGGGATATGTTTCTAGAGATGTTTGATTTAACCAGAAGTATATGAGATTTCTGAACCATTTAATCATCTAATTAATATCTCAAAGTTTCCAATTTTGCTTCATATGTTTGATTTGGGCTTATTAGGAATCGGATTGGATCACTTTTTTCAATGAGTTCGCTTCATCGAGATATGCATTTTGACTATGTATTTGATAAAATCTGAATTCGCATGGTCTTAAATTTATTTTTTTAAGTTTTCAATTCAAATATCCATCCAGATTAGTATTCGATCAAATATACATATAAACTATCTATGAATATAATTTAAGATTAAATACGAACCGAACGAGTCTTCGGGCCGAGAAAGCCATTGATGAAAACCGGGCCGACGAGGGAAAGCCCCAGACCAGCCCCAATCGCCCGAAACCCTAAAGTCCACCAAAGCAAAATCGTTACTAAAAAAACAAATCGGAAACGGAGAGAACGAAACCACAAGTAACTAAGCAAGAAACAATCCTAGAGAACCTTGAAAGGTCTCCCATGGGTAAATCACGCCGTCCTTATTCCGGTCGAAGAACGCAACGTGCTTCTGTAACGGCGTCATCTCGCCGTCGCCGCTTCCTCCGTCGTCAACCTCAGCCGGCGAACCCGCCATTTCTTTAGAGAGAGAAAGTAGAGGGATATAATCGAAAGGTTGGGGTTTACAGAAGCTAGCGGAAGGTGGAGGAAAATAGAAATGGACGAGACGTTGATTAGTGGTGGGGCCCACAGAACAAAAGAGACGAGTACACGTTTTTCAGTAGGCGAGCGCCGCATGCGACAAGTATGGTAATCGCCGTTGGTTTTTGCAGTGGATGGCATCATTGCCGTTGAAACATGTGGCGCGCTTTCCGTTATAACTCTTAAGTAAAGTCGCATGCGGACGGGCTACATATGAGATATGGAAGGAATCTCTGTTGCATCTCGTCGGCTTCTTCCTTTGAGTGGAAGCAACCGCAGAAGTGATGTCACGCGGCGTGCCGCACACACGCATAGGATGGCAGCACGCAAAGTCGCAAAGCAACGAAAGAAACCTTTTATCTACAGGTATAATAACACGTAATTCCCTTAAAAATAATAATAATAATAATAATAACACGTGAATTAAATGCATATTAATAAAATTTTAAATTTTAATATTGTAATCAGCTGTCGAAGTTATCGTCAAAATTCCTGTTTTTTTGGGATATTGAGGCTAGAAAGCTTCATCTGATCTCGTGGGCAAATATGTGCAAACCTAAAAACAAGGGAGGGCTTGGTATTCCGACGCTTCAGGCTATCAGATATGCCTATGACTGCTCCCTAATTTTTCGGATATACAATTGGGAATCCCCTCTATCTACTTGGTACTTATCCAAATATTGCTCCCCTTGGAAACCCCCTCCCACTTCCTCTTCGACTATGTGGAAAAGTATTTGTAATACTGCAAGGCATGCTAAAACTAATTTTGTTTTCAAAATTACCGACAATTCTCCCATTAGCCTTAAATGGGATCACTAGTGTAAGGGTCTCTGTATTCAAGATCTGCCTCACCATCACTCTCTGACTAGTTGATTCCCTGATAATGCGCGCTTAGTTGCTCTCTTTGACTGTGGTGAATGGCACTTCCCTCCCACCTGCCCGGTTAACATTAAAAATGATATCTGCTCTATCCCTATTGATAGTGTTGGTCGGTACAAATGCTTATCTTGGGGTTCTAGAAACAATTATAAATTTGGATATTTCATCCAAGATTTTCATATACTGGATGATGAGAAATCATGGAGCAAATTGGTTTTGGAATAAACATTATGCTCTCAGATTTTCCATTTATGCTTGGTTGTGTTTCATGGGTGGGTTCAAAACTTCTGATGCTTTACGTAAGAGAAAGATTTATGTTGATCCTCTGTGTATTTTTTGCCAATGTTGTCCGGAAAGTATTACCCACCTATTTTTTTAGTGTGATTATACTTTTTACATCATCTCCAATATGTTGTCTTTTTGCTTAAATACCTTTTTTATGAGGCCAAATTTAAGTCAGGTATCTGACTTTTTAGTCAATTGCGGTACTTCTAACGATGCCAATTTATCTGTTAACCTATTGACTCTTTGGACTGCTGTTTACACCTTTTGGAGTGAGAGAAATGGGCGGAAATTTGCTAACTATATTAAAAGCACCACAACTATTCAAGCCCAGATCAAGCAGGTGGTTACTGTTAAGCTTACTAAATGGAACAAATGATGGAACTGCTTGGTTTTTATTTTGTCTTTCTTGTGGGGGTCTGTTGGCACCCCGGCTATGCCGTGCTTCTGATCCTGTTTCCTCATAGGGATATTCTTTCGGATACTCCCTACTGTTTGAATTGTTGGCTGTGGGCGATGATGTGCAGGTTTCATCCTCCCCCCAGGATGGCGAAATCTGCAACATTTACATATTTGATGGCATTTTTTTGCAACCGGGGGCCAGCTCATCTTGAGGATGAAATTTTGAGTTTTCCTGAGCCTACCTGTGATATTACCCCAACTGCTTTGAGGTTTTTTGATTTTTTGCCAGGCTATCATGTTACGCTTGGTGGGGATCAGTTTCTTTCCAGCTCTTTCATGTTAATTCACTTCAGCCTACATGTGTAATTTTGGCACTAATGGTGCTCTTTTTTTTTTTCGCTTCTCTTGCAGCTAGCTGTCACAATTTTGTCTTTTGGTTTCTTTTACACATGTAACTAGTTCTTTACTTTAATGAAATTCGGGCTTGGCCTGCTTTTCCAAAAAAAAAAAAAATTATTATAAAATATAAAATAAATAAATTTATCATTACAAATAATAATAATAATAATAATTATATCCTAAATTTAGGACTATTGTGGGCTAGAATGTACGAGGTGATAGGGTTCGAATTTTTCGTCTAAGCGTTATATGGATATTCATCACACAAATATATGAGAAATAAAGCATCAGAATTTTTATGTGGAAACCCTAGAAAGGAAAAAATCACGGGGTCACGCTAAGTTAAAAGAATTCCAATAATGTTTGATTGAGGTACAAGAGGCTGCTTGTGCTTAAAATTTAGGAATATCAGATTACAATAATTCTCTCCCGGATTGAAATTCAATTACAAACAAGAATTTGATATTCAATAATGTTGGGTATTCGGGCTGAATCCTAGAGTCGCTTGGAGATCGGACAGAATTCCAGCGTCACTTGGAGATCGGGCAGAGTTTTGACGTCACTTGAAAGTTGGGTAGAACTCCAGCGTCACTTGAAAGTCAGATGAAACTCCGACGGTGGTCGAGGAGAAGCTTCTTCCCTCCTCTTTTTTTCTTCTCTTCTTCCTACTTGGGTCAACTCTTAAGAGAAATGAGGGGCTATTTATAGTTTTTTTAGAGTGGCGTGACCCGTAAATAGGAGGATGATCAAGGGCTATTTATTACAAATGAGGACTGGTTTCGATGGACGTCCGATATTAAATCCTTTGATTATGGACTGTTCATCAGACATTTGAAGGTTTTAATGATATCAAAATTTGGCGATATTGGGCTCGTTGTATTCGTCTCATCGAGCCACTCGATTCGATTATAGGCATGTGATGATTGGAAACCGTTTGGTAATCCAATTCGTGGTTTGAACCTTCCATCAACGCTTTGGGTCTTCGATTCAGACCTATTTGTGCTCGGATTGAGTTGATTTTGGTGCGTTGGGTTTGTATTTTTGAGACGGTCAGTTCGGCTGTAAGTTTACTGAAATTGAAGTTCAGATGGTCCCAGGTTTAATTTTTGAAGCTTCCAACCTGATTTTACCTCGAGATTCGTGCCTCATCAAGATATTTCTTTATGATATATCAAGGACCAATGCATTTTTTTATGATATTAGATATTGCATTGTATTATTTTAAATATTTATATAATCAAATTTTAGATTTATTATTTGTAATAAATAATATTGAAAGAGAGAAATTAAATATTTATTTTTTATGATATTAGATATTGCATAAAGTCATGAGTTTTTATTTGTTAAAGACATACTTTTCTTCATCACATGAGTTTGAGTAAAATATTTAATAGGAACATTGATATTAAATAAATAGTTATATTAAATATTATTTTTTATTCTTAAAACATTTAATATGAAATCAAAGATAAATAATATAAAAAAATTATATTATTCAATAAAATATATCAAAATTTCAAATAATTTTAAGACCTAGAATTTTTTAAAACATCATATATGAATGGAATAAAAAATAGCAAAATCAAATTCTTATTCATCTAAATATTAAATGTTATATTACAATAATTATCTAGTAGAGTTTTTATTCTAGTGAAACGATTTATAAAGATGAAGCGTGGTAAGCTTACTTAGTATTTTTCAAACATCAACTAAAAGCATCTCAAAATTTATTTTAAAGTTTTTTTTTTTAAAGAAATGATTATTTATTTTTTTAAAAATAAAAGTAAAATAAAAAGAAAAAGCACATTAAATACAGTTACATGCTACTCTTGTTTTTTTGCAGATTCTATCCAAACAATTGTTATACATTAATATTAAACACTTTTCAAGTTGAATGTTAAATAACTAATAATTTTAGACAGAAATACTTTAAATTAAATCATAGTAAAATAGTAAATACCAGTAATAAATGTTTTTACATAAAAGATTTTTTAGTGAGATCAAATCCTAAAACTAACTGGCTGATAGTGTATGTATAATTATTGAAAAAATAAATATTTTTTTATTTTCCTATTATGGTAATCAATAATTCATAAGCTTGACAACGTTAAAAAAGAATAAATTGGAATATATATTTTTATATGAAAGATCAAATTAAATGCATATATAATTAATGCAATCAACTAACATTTAAATACTTGTAATATTAAAGGAATACTTATAAAATTATATGTTCAAAATATTAAATATGTTTATAATTATTAAGAAATCTCATTTTTATAAAATAATATTAAATGCTTTTTTTTATAATATTACAGACATCTCCCAACCATTTTTTGTGACATTCAGCATAAATAATACAACTTGCGTTACATATTTATAATCAATGTACTCTGCAATTGAGATGATGGTAGCTCTTGTAACTGCTATATCACTAACTAACAAAGTTGGATTTTTTCGCAGTCGTGTTGAGCGGTTTTTTAGAACCGCTTGCCAAAAACTCATTTTAACGCACAGTATATCATATCATAATGGGCTAATCTCTGCTGTTTTTTTTTTTCTTTTCGGTTTTCACAAGAA